GACTCCTTTGCTGTTCACGGCATTGGTTTATGGATGGTAACACCAGACTGGGAAATTCCTCTGCGGAAACCCTAATGTGATTGTGGCAACTCTCCTGTTCTTTTCCTTTTTCTTGTTGGGTGGTTTAAGGGTTTGGGTTTGACTAATATAACCGTGTTTAACTCTTTCTGCAGCTTAAACTTTCTGAAGAAGCCACATTTACTGCCATGCGATCACATTTTCTGCCGGTAATCTTTTCATTCATACTATTGCCACTGGCTGGGTCCTTCCGTGGGTGGTCGCCTTTGGAGGGCTTTCTTCTGTTTGACTCGCAATTGCTTGACTTGGATCTATCAAACGTATTGCAGGTCGTGCCTACCCAAATCCAAACATCTGGGTCTGGAATGCCCTTACTGTAAGGGTCCCTACGCTGATGAAGGTATGTATCCATTTGCTATGTATGTTCGTTTCAATTTGAATTGTTAAACCCTCTTGATGGAATTGACCAAGCCGTTTCAATTTGACTTGAATGAGAAAAGAAGCTGGCTTTGCTAATATGAAAACTTTATTCTAGAGAACGAGTTTAGCCTTCAGATGGTAAAAAATCCTTATGTTTGGTTGCAGATAGTAGGCATCTGCCCTTCATCGAGAACCTTGTGTCTATCTACAGAGGACTGGATGCTGCTTTTCATGTCACTGCAATGCAGTCGGTTGGTTCTGGTGGTATGTCCTCTCTTCCATTGATTATAGTGAAATTGTCAATTCCCTTCACTTCGTGCTCAGCCTTTCCTTGTGTGGCTAAAATCATCTGCAACTTTTTTCGCCTTTATCAAGCTCCCCAGGTTTTAGGCAGCAACGATGAATCTCTGAAAGCTAGCTTCAACCACAGCATTCATGTGAGAAATTGCTCATTTTCACCAATGAGCAAGAAATCCAATCCTGTTCCATCAACTCCTGTTGGAATTGCGGCTGGAGAGAAAGGCATGTCGGATAAATGTAGTTTACCTAGGGGCTTAAAAGATAACGACAAAAATGTGGTTGAGGATGGTGGGCGCAAAGCTAAACCAAATGCCCAGTCCCCACTGATAGATTCTCAGACAGGAACTCAATCGATGGAAGAGTATGTAACTACGACTCTTGTAGACCAATTGTCACTTGATAGTCCTTCATTTGGTGACCTCAAGTATTCTGAGGATGACAGTAATGACCAATGTGGTAATGATGTAAGGTTTCTTAATCCACTTCACTTTGTTACCTCATGGGATCCCACTGTTTTATTTTTAGATTTTGTGAGAAATGGTCCTAGTTAGTTGAATTCTTATACTTGATTATGCAAGTTCCTGACTTCGTGATCACTAGCATGATTTAGAATTATCTTCTGCTTTGCTTTGCCACAGAGATGACTGATCTCACTTTTTTGTTGAGGAATTTTGACAACCCTGTTGCCATTTTCAGACTCCACAAAATCATGCCATGGCATTGGTCAAGCAGAATTCTGTTGACAATCAACGATGTGGGGGACATGACAGTTCTGCTTCTGGCACTTCTGAAGAGCATCTGAGGAATTCTAAGAGACAAAAGTTGAACTATAGTTCAAAAGATACAGGTTTGCATATTGCTGGTCCTTTCGAGGCAAGGGATTCTCAAGCTGAAAAACTGGCAATATCTGGTGTTCACAATCATGCAGCATCAAATAAGCTCCCTGCAAACGGAACTGTCTGTGGATTTTGTCAGTCCTCTAGCCTCTCAGAGGTCAGTGCCCTTTTCATTTGTAGCACATTCACCATCTCTTCGTTGTACAAAATACTTTTTGTCTAGTTTAATCTTCTTGCATTTCATACATCTATTCTGCTGCTTTCCCTGTCACTTTGGTTTTTAACCTCTTCATATTTTAGGATACTGGCCCCATGTTGCATTACCTAGACGGGAATCTGGTCGAAGGACATGAAGCTACCATGTCCACTGCATTGCATGTTCACAGGATTTGTGTTGAATGGTACACTGTTACTATTTCCGTATTCATAATTTTGTGCTGAAAATTGGGTGTTTAGGTCGTTTAACTGTGTGATTGGAATTGCAGGGCACCTCAGGTATTTTTTGTTGGTGATACTATAAATAACTTGAAGGAAGAGTTGGCTAGGGGTGCAAAACTTAAGTGCAGCAAATGTGGGCAAAAGGGAGCAGCACTAGGTTGCTATGTCCAATCTTGCAGAAAAAGTTATCATGTTCCCTGTGCAATGGAAATCGCTAGATGCAGATGGGATTTTGTAAGTGTGTGGCTTCGGAATAGTATATGCCGTTAGAGAACCCTAGCAAGTGGTCTGTTTCTGCATCTTTTCACTGAGTTGATATTTGGCACTAACATCTTCTGTACTTGGTTTGCAGGAGGATTACCTTCTACTTTGTCCTGGCCATTCTTCTCACAAATTTCCAGCTGAGAAGTCCAAGCGTGTGAAACAGAAGTTGAAAGATAATCAGAACACGAGGGATGATCTTGAGTTGGCAAAAACGTAAATGCATGTTCTCTCATTTTTGTAATTTTAAAACGACTTGCTAGGATTGCCTGTGCTGATATGAATGACTGTTTTTTATTGAAGAGACGATTGTGCATTCTAATAAACTAATATGAACTTAAGAAGACATTGTTCACTTGTGCATGCAGAGTCTTGAAGCAGTCAAACCCGTGGATAGGTTCAAAGAAGTGGCTTTTCTGTGGATCTGCTCTTTCTGCTGAAGAGAAGGTTAGTTTGAACTGATGATTTCCTAATTGCTTGGTTAAAAATGCATCTACTCTGGTGAAACCTAATTCTGTTTGAATTCAAGGACATGAGTGCATTTGACTACCTTGATGACGAATTTAACTTAATACTTGGGGATAAACAAAATTTTTATTTAAACTTTTTGTCTCCAAAAGAAGTTTTGTTAGTTAGCTCTCTCTACTTGCTCAAAAGCACAACTGTAAGCTGTTAGTTTCTGTGTTGAATTAACATATATCCAAAAGATGCCAACACATTAGACCTTGGTTGTCATGTCAGTGTATTCTAGCGGAGTTTGGCAACAAAATAGATGTACCAGTGACTAAATTCTGGAGACCAGATGTTACACATGTGATTGCATCCACAAACACGGAGGGGGCGTGCACTAGAACACTGAAAGTTCTCATGGCCATTCTAAATGGGAAATGGGTTCTAACAATTGACTGTAAGTTGATCCCTTTATCCAACAATATTCTAATGCATCTTTACTTGCACCATCTTGCTGTCTGTAAGTGTAAGCTTAAATTAGATCCAGCTATCCCATCACTAAATGGTTTGATATCATATTCACAGGGATAAAAGCATGCAAGGAGGCAATGCAACCTGTCAGTGAAGAACCTTATGAAGTTAGACTTGACAATCATGGATCCTGTGATGGCCCCAAAACTGGGAGACTTTGTGTCTTAAATAATGCAAGTATCTTGATGAGCTATTAGCATGAGTAGATTTAACATGGATTTTCTTTCGTTCTAGTTGAGTAGAACTTTACCATTTCTAAGTATGGCTTTGTCCTTGCTCGTTTCCTTGCAGGGTCCTAAGCTCTTCCAACAGTTAAACTTCTACCTCTCTGGTGACTTTGTATCTGGCTACAGAAAAGATCTCCAAAATCTTATTGTTGCTGCGGGTGGCACAGCATGGGGGAGCAAGGAAGACTTGTTGGAGATGAGCAAACAACAAAAAGGTGGGGATGGAGCTTCCCCAACAACATTAGTTGTTTACAATCTCGATCCTCCACCGGGCTGCAAGTTGGGAGAAGAAGTGTCAATTCTCTGGGAAAGGCTTAATGAAGCAGAGGATATAGCTGCTAAAACTGGATCTCAAGTTATTGGTCATACTTGGCTGTTGGAATCAATTGCTGCATGTAAATTGCAGCCTCTTGTTAGTTGAAAAAATGTTCAGCAACAACTCCCAGAAATTTTAGCTTGTTTTAGGACGTGGGGGCAATAGTTGGAACTGTGCCATATTGTAAGGGTTATTAAGCATAAGCTGTATTGGGATGATAATAATACAGTAGTCACATTTTCATTTCTAATGAAAGAGTAACTTTTGTATTTCCTCCAGATTAGACCTGTTTCATTGCATCAGCAACAGGAGCAGGCGCAGCAGCAGTAACATCCCTTGTTTATTAAAGAAAGAAATGTTGCTGGAAAGCAAAGCATTGCTGTGTTTCTGTTTTACAAGAACTACAATATTGAAAGCAACGTACAATAATCAATTGTTTTTGTTTAGTATCAATTTCTATTTTTTGTTTTTGTTTCCACAGGTAAACAGATAGATGAAAAACATGTTTATAGATGAAAAACTTTCATGCAGAGTTCTGATAAAACATGTTTATTTATGTTTTCATAACAATTAACAACATGAATTGGCAACATAACATACATCAGCTGAAATCAGCGAAACCACTTTAAATAACTTTATTTTTGTTACAAAAAATTGTTTCTTCTGAGATCATATCAATTATTCATTTAAGTGAGTTTATAAACAAACAAACTTTCTACATATTTCCCTCTCCAAATTTACATAACTCATCCTAGAAATTGTGTCTCCAAATTGGGGGAGGTCACACGATGTTATTTTTTTTTGTTCACGAATTGTGTCTCTTTTGTAGTTTTTCCATTCCAGTAGTATCGGTCATTTATTTCACTTTCCTCCAAATTTAATCAAGCACTCATTCGTCTAACCCGATATATGAAATTCCAACTTGAATATTTTTCGAGTTTGTTTGAATTTTCATTATATGCTGTATCCAAATAGGAACTGTTATTTTAGAGTAATGTTACGTATTATTATTTATTACTATATGCTAAGTAAGATTTGATATAATTTATATTTATATGAACAATATAAAATATTTTATATATCCAAACTAAATTAAAATAAAACAATAGAATCATTAATCCTCAACTCAGTTACCGGGCTACCGAGGTGACAACCTTGCTATTAGCCCCCGCGCTTTAATTGAATGCATGCATTTTCCCACAATCATAGGATAATGCAAGCCCGAAATTCCAAATCCCGACAGAAGCTCCCTTCTGGCCCGGGACAGAGGGAAGATTCAGACAAATTCTTGGAAAAAAGACAAAGACGCTCGTTTACTAGGATTCCATAAATATTCCGATTGAAAAAATGGCAGGATACTCAAAGCTCAAGCACGAGCCCCAAACTTCTTTCCCACCGAGAAGATTTTCTTCCTTGTCTGTCGCTTCTTTCTTTCTTCTTCTAAATTGGGATTCTATTCATGGTGTGCATCGTCTATGGGTTCTGAAAGGAAGAAAAAGACTGCCGTGAACCCAGAAAGAGAATCCCATTTTGTTGCGCGACGTCAATCCGGCGGCCGAACTTCCAGCGAAGACAGGTTTGAGAGCTTTAGGTTTAGTTCTGCTTATTCAAGTAGCTTTAGGGTAAATCCTCCTTGGGATTTAGCTAGTCAATATTTTGCCGTAACAGTAGTAGAATTAAGAGAAGAAGCAATTCAGTAAAACTGTTTTTGTTTGTGGTTCATTCTCACCCACAGAGAACTGCTCCTTCCAAGTTTGCCGGTGGGTCAATTTCACCGGAAAGATCAGATTTTTGAGCAGAATCCAATGGAAAAGCTAGAAGGAACCTGCTCCGACAAGGAAGGCAGGCAAGATTATACACGAGATGGGACTTTGAGCCTCCGTGGGAAGCCTGTGTTGAGATCAAGGACCGGGGGGTGGAAAGCTTGTTCCTTTTTTCTTGGTAACGTTTGGAAAAGAAAAACAGAAGCCAAAGTGTTTATTTTGTTCACGATCTTAGCTGCTGCTGCTGCTGTGTTTTTCCCTCACAGGGTATGAAGTATTTGAGAGGATGGCGTTTTATGGGATAGCATCAAATTTGGTGATCTATTTATCAGTGAAGCTTCATGAAGGCACAGTGAAGTCTTCCAACAATGTCACCACCTGGACTGGCTCTGTGTGGATGTTCCCCATTCTCGGAGGTTACATCGCGGATGCTCACTTGGGTCGATACTGGACCTTTGTCATTGCAGCAGCCCTCTACCTTCTGGTACTTAAACTCTTTGACCAGTGGATTTCCTCCATGCCGTGGGACTTTGTTTTGCATGACTTCTGATATCTTTGCTTCCACACCAAACAGGGAATGTCCCTCTTAACCTTGGTAGTTTCAGTGCCTGGACTCAGACCCCCGTCCTGTGGGAATGGAATCAGCGAAACACAATGTGAACAAAGCGTCTCGAGTTTCCAAAAGGGGATTTTCTATTTCGCATTGTACACGGTTGCACTTGGAGCTGGTGGAACAAAGCCAAATATATCCACAATGGGTGCAGACCAGTTTGATGATTCTGATCCCAAGGAAAGGCATTACAAGATATCATTCTTTAACTGGTGGTTTTTCGGCAGCTTCTTTGGCGCCCTCATTTCCAACAGCCTCTTGATCTACGTACAAGACAATGTTGGTTGGACCCTGGGCTACGGTCTGCCAACACTTGGCCTTGCTGTTTCCATCTCTTTGTTCCTTATAGGAACACGGTTTTATAGGCACAAATCGATTGCTGGGAGTCCAATCACTAAAATGTCGCAGGTTATTGTTGCTGCTGTAAGGAAATGGAGAATACCTGTTCCTGATGATCCAAAACAGCTTTATGAGTTCGCACCCGAATCTCACTATTACAGACTTGATCATACAGCCACTTCATTAAGGTCTCTTAGCTGCAATACTGTGGTCGTTTGTGTTGCATTTATTGTTTCTCATTAATTTTTTTCATCTGGTAGCATCATAAGCTTTCAATAGTCCTCAAGTCTATCAGCTGCTTATAACTGCAGATTCCTTGATAAAGCTGCTGTTATGACGGGATCAAGCTCTCCGTGGATGCTCTGTCCAGTGACTCAAGTTGAAGAAACGAAGCAAATGATCAAGATGCTCCCGGTTATGGCAATCACTATAATACCCAATACCATAATAGCCCAAATGAACACATTATTCATCAAGCAAGGCACCACTCTCAACAGAAGTGTGGGGCCTGATTTTGAGATCCCTCCAGCATGTCTATCAGCATTTGTCACCATTTTCATGCTGGTAAGCCTCATCACTTACGATCGCTGGTTCGTGCCATGGCTTGAACAGTACACAAAGAACCCCCGGGGGATCACTTTGCTAAAAAGAATGGCGATTGGCTTTGTGTTGCACCTCGTCATCATGGTCACAGCCTGTCTGGTTGAACGAAAAAGGCTTAGTGTTGCCAGAGAACACCACAAACTGGGTCAACACGACCAAGTGCCTCTCAGCATCTTTATCCTGTTGCCCCAGTTTGCTCTGGTGGGGATTGCGGATTGTTTCCTTGAACCTGCAAAGCTCGAGTTCTTCTATGACCAAGCACCTGAAGGAATGAAGAGCCTGGGCGCCACTTACTTCTCGACCGGCCTTGGGCTTGGGCAGTTCTTTAGCAGTTTCCTTCTGGCAACAGTTTCTGATATCACCAAGAAGGCTGGCCACAGTGGGTGGATTCTGGATAACCTGAATATCTCTCATCTCGATTACTACTACGCATTCTTGGGTCTTCTGGGGCTCCTCAACTTCCTTGTATTTCTGGTGGTGGCTAAATTTTTCGTTTACAATGTGGATGTGAACTCCACAGGAAGCGGAAAATTAGACGCGGTAGCTCTGCCAGGCCAAACCACCAGCTAACTCTATAACTTCAACAGAAGGCGATTAATCTATGTGGAAATAAGACCAATGAGTAGTGTTTTGTATGTTCTTCCTTGCTCCATGGCACAGCTCAGAAATCAGGACTTTGGTGTTTTGTAAAGAAGAATTTGTTTGTCAAATATGCATAGTTTTTTGTTTGCCTTGCACGGAAAAGAGCCAGAATAGACATCAAGGAATGTGGCCGAAGTGAGATTCTAGTGGTCTCTGTGTCCACCCTTGGCCTGGCTGTAAGCATCTATTGATTGTAACCTTTGTGCCTTTCTTCTAAACCTCTCTCCAACTAAAATCTGAACAGAGGCATCGTAATTGTACATGACTGGCAAAACTCTGTGAAAAGGCATTGTTGTGGACCTGTCTCACAACTCGTTTCCTTCCGCGATAGCAAGAAAAGTATAGAAATCTTCTTGGCAGCCTGACTTTGAACCAACATGATTTAGTGTTCCTTTTACTTAAGAAGCTAACCTTCTTTGATCTGTAGTCAAGTGTAGTGCAGCAGGGACGGCTGCTCCATCAATATTTGTATCCATATGGTTGAGCAAACTCGAAATGACATAAGATGGTAGATTATCAGCCCTGTTTCCTCTAAGATCCAGTTTCGATTCCGAAAAACTCCTCTCGTCGCTCTAAATTCTGGGTTAACAGCGGACACGAATCTCTTTCGGTTCGTCCATTCTTTCATTGTAGTCCATCCAATGTCTATGGTGGATGGTTGAGCCTAAATGAGGAAGGTTTTTGCCATGACTTTCATCTCACGTCACCTGTGACACATATATGACTGAGACTGCCATTCTAATTCTACTTAGTTGTTTGTATCTGCAGGGTCAATGCGTTTAGTAGAGCTCTCTAGATGCAACTTTATGGAGGTCAAGGCAGAGCCAAGCCCAAGTAAGTCACAGTAGTAATACTGCTATCTGTAGCTACTTCGTGGAGCTCGTCCCCCCATTGACAAATTGCTCGCTTTGATTTCTTCATCTTTAACCTGTCTCGTCCTTGGAATAAAGGCAAACAGTTTAGAACAATATGGGGAGGAACGGCAACAACGAACACTTGGGTAATGAAAAATCGATCCCATAATGCACACCTTACACCATCATTTACAGGAAGACTGAGAACAAAGGAAGAAACAAACAAACAAACATTGGAATACTTTTCGACTCATGGCGGACAGTTTGATTCGTGGTTTTCTGGCTTGAAGTGCATTGGATCTCATTGTAGCTGTTCAGTTTCAGTATATCTCTCTTTCTCTTTCATTGATACGGTTTGGCCAAATTTGGGAACCTTTTCTTGTTCAATCACTCGCTGTTCATGGTCGCAGGAGATGGAATCAAAATGGAAGGACTTCACTATGGGGATGCAACAAGACAAACTGAAACCATTTGCCGTTATTTCTTAATCTTTACCTAGACAAGGCAAAATGCAATGTTTTGGCGGCTTTTGGCTATATAAAAAAGAAGCCACATGGAGAAGCTAATACCGCAAAAGGAAATACACATGAAACTTTCATGCAGAGTTTTGATACAACATAATCGTCTCCAAGTCGATTCAATCAAAACGTGACCTGTGCCGCATTTGATCTTCTCTGCTCTAGATGGAACCAGTTGCAGCAGAAGAGAAGGTTCAAAGTGATCATGGAGGGCAGGACTATACGGAGGATGGAACTGTTGATCTCCATGGTCGGCCTGTGTTGAGGTCAAGCACTGGGAAGTGGAAAGCTTGCTACTTTCTTGTAGGTATGACATTTCCCCTTCTCTCTGTGAACCTGTTGGCGCAGTAGTGCTTCTGAAACTGCCTGCTCTTCACTGCAAAAACCAATTGTTTAACTTTGGCTTTGCTGTTGTAGGCTATGAAGTGTTTGAAAGAATGGCATTTTATGGGATTGCAGCAAACCTGGTAATATACTTGAGACACAAGTTACATGAAGGCACAGTAGAATCTTCAAACCATGTTACCAACTGGGTTGGCACGGTATGGATGTTGCCCATATTAGGTGCTTATGTTGCAGATGCGCGCCTCGGTAGGTACTGGACTTTTATCATTGCTTCAGGAATCTATCTCATGGTACGCGAAACATGACAATTTTCTTCTATAATCTCATCTACACTCTATATGGTTTCTTCTGACTCCAGCTTTTTTCCCCCCTTCATTTCTCCAAATTGCATCAGGGAATGACCCTTTTGACAATGGCAGTTTCAGTCCCTGGCCTGAAGCCTCCATCCTGCGGTGGAAATGTGAAAGAAGATGAATGTCCATTGAGGGCGTCGGCTGTTCAGAAGGGGGTTTATTACACAGCTCTGTATATAATTGCAGTTGGAACAGGCGGGACCAAGCCCAACATTTCCACCATAGGAGCAGACCAGTTTGATGAATTCGAACCCAAGGAGAAGAAGAGCAAGCTGTCTTTCTTCAACTGGTGGATGTTCAGCATCTTCTTTGGCACCTTGTTCTCAAACACCTTCCTGGTCTACATCCAAGACAATGTGAATTGGAGCATCGGATATGCCATCCCGACGGTGGGCCTTGCCATCTCGATCGCTGTGTTTCTGACCGGGACCCCATTCTACAGGCACAGGTTGCCTGCAGGCAGCCCTTTCACCAAGATGGCACAGGTGTTTGTGGCTGCACTCAGGAAGCGGAATACCACTGTGCCAAATGACTCAACCGAGTTGCACGAACTCAGGTTGGATGAGTACTCAAGAGCAGGAAATTTCCCAGTCCACCATACCACTCCTCTGAGGTATGAAGCTTCTTTCTTTCTGCACTAACAAAACAACAAAACTGCCGATTGACATTCGATCTAAAAAGACTACGCGATCGATCGATGGATGGTTGCAGCTTCCTTGACAAAGCAGCAGTGAAAGACAAGTCAAGTTCACCATGGATGGTGTGTCCTGTAACTCAAGTGGAAGAAACCAAGCAGATGATCCAGCTGCTCCCAATCTTCACAGCAACAATCGTTCCCAGCATCGTCATCGCGCAGATACACACCTTGTTCATCCAGCAAGGCACCACATTGGACAGAAAAGTCGGCCCGAATTTCAGCATCCCACCAGCCTGCCTCACAGTGTTCGTCACCCTATCGATGCTCATCTCCCTGGCCGCCTACGACCGGATCCTCGTGCCAGCAGCCAGGCGATACACCGGGAACCCGAGAGGGATCAGCATCCTGCAGAGGATGGGGATCGGCCTCTTCCTGCAGACAATCACCGTGGCAGTGGCTTCCCTGGCAGAGACGAGGAGGCTCAACGTCATAGCACAACACAACATCACGGGGAAACAGGACACGGTGCCTCTCACGATCTTCGTCCTCCTGCCCCAATTCGTGCTCATGGGGATCGCGGATGCGTTCGTGGAAGTGGCCCGGATCGAGTTCTTCTACGACCAGGCGCCCCAAGGGATGAAGAGCCTTGGGACATCCTACTTCACCACGGGCTTGGGGATTGGATACTTCATGAGCAGCGTTTTCCTGAGAACTGTGGCTGGTGTCTCCAGCAGGCATGCCAGGAGAGGGTGGATCCTGGACAATTTGAACCTCTCCCATTTGGACTACTACTATGCACTCTTGGTGATCTTGAGCGTTGTCAACCTGCTCTACTTTCTTCTTGTTTCCAAGTTGTACGTGTACAACGCGGCCATAAGAAGCAACAAGAAGGAGGAGGAGGTTGATGATGATGATGATGCCAGTGAGGAGGAGTCACTGCAGTGCAAGTGAGGAGGTGTCCTTTCAATTGTTGTATCTTTGAAGGATCAAACACCAACATCAAACATGTATTGTTTTTATGTAAGCAGGAATGGAGAAGGAAATGGAGGGAGAGAAGTTTCCTGTTTTATTCTTTTGTGTGTGTAGAATGTAGACTTATTAATTTAATGTTTTCAAATTATTGAATAAACAAATCTCTATTATTAAACAATAGAGAATAGAGTATTGTGGATGTCAATTGGATTCTATATTGAATGCCACATGATTAGACTATTATAAATGTTATGTAATGAGCTATTTATCTTTCTAAATTCTCATATAAAAGTCTTGGTTGTCCTTCTACTATTCATTAAGAGGTTTTTTGGTAATTTTATCAAAGTTTAAGGTAAATCTTTCAAGAAGACATATATATGACAACATAGTTTTTTAATTTTGACCTTTTAACTTATGTTCTCCATATTTCATTTCTCTCCCCATTTCTTATATTTTTGTTTGTTGTTCTTAAATCGATTTGTTTTTCGTATTTGATTTCGTATTTTCTCATCTCTCCCGATCGAGATAAGCTTTAGTATTTGATTTTGTATTTTTAATCATCTCTCCAGCTCGAGGTCATATATGATGTTAACGATAAAAATTTCTCTCCCAATCGAGAAGAACGAAAGTAGCCTTGGAACCAACGAAACTAAATACTAGGTTCTTCCGTCTTTTTCCTTTGCTTTTGTTGATTTATTATATTTTTTTTCATCTTAGTTGACAATTCATGGTAAATTTTAAGTTTATCATTTTGTTTGTTTGGCTAAACATAGGCATAATCTATAGGTAAATTCTCTAATTAATAGTAGCCAAGCTCCAAATCAAACAAATACTTCTTCACCAATAGTATGTAGATCGTCCTCCTCTGATTCATAGCCTCATTTGTCAGAGTGCAAATTGCTATGGAGTTCTCACACAATATGTTTGCGATTTTTCTTCCTGCTTTTACAATAGCCTTGTGAATTAGATTTTACAAGATCACTACGAAATGCAAGCGAGCATGCCAATATCTTGTTAATAAATAAACAAATTTCTATTATGAAACAATAGCTTATTGTGGATTCATTGGATTCCATGTTGGATGTCACATTATGACTCTATATCAAAAGCCCGCCCCCGCTAGCTAACATAGAAAGAGATTACCAGATATTATACATAAAAAAAGTCATTTCTCTTAAAAGCTTATTCTCTTATGCTTTTTTATATTTTCTCTAAGCGTGCAACGACTATCTCCTTGATTTGAAAAACTTCCATTTTGTCTTGATATAGTTTCCTACAATACAAGATTGACACTAATACACGAAATATATATTAGGGTGATTCACTTTTCTTACCGGTTTTAGCCATCTATAGCAAGGGTAAGAAATTCCTAACAAGTTGTCCCTTCTTTGCATTTCTACAATTATTTACCTGTCATGGATTCTAGTCAAGAAGTATTGATGCTTGCCCTTTGACAGTTGACCGGTTATAAAAAAGATAGTACCAAATGTTTTAACTTAACTAAAAAAAAGCAAACAAATCAATTCTTAACAACGTTCCTTCCATAACTCCCCTAAATGTACTACTTGAATGTCTCCCCCTTAGTTGGTTTTCCCTTAGGGTCGTTTGCTTCAAATATTTGGATGTGGGATTTGGTTCTCAAATCCCGCACATGAAGGATTTGTCCAAAAGCCATTGTTTGTTGAGCCAAAATGGAGGGTACCAAATCCGTGGGGTCCACTGATTTGGGGCTCCAAATCCGTGGGCCCCACGGATTTGTAAATCCCACCTCATACCCTGGGATTTGGAGACAAGCTGAAAAACCATCAAATCCATGATAAAAATATCTCAACAAACAAAAGATTTCCTCAAATCCATAATGCCCAAAATCCCTAATAAATCCTAAGGTTTTTAATTAGCAAATTCATGACAAAACCCTCGTTATAAAATCCTTGAAGCAAACGACCCCTTAGTGATTTTCGGTGCAGGATTGGTTCCTCCGAGCTATAATCATCGTCATTATTTGATTCTACGTCCAATAAGCTTCCTTTATGCTCCAGGTTCTTAAGATGTTGTTTCTGCCTTTCCCTTACATGTGCAACCTCTACTTCTATCGTGGCCCATTAGATTAGTAAACTCTATTGCAGTTAGTGGTTTTGTTTTTCAATCCCTCTTGGATGAAGCAGGTGACTCTCCCCTTTGATGACTAGTGATGCAACCCATATCATCTCACATGACGTCCCCTCGAGTTCGAAGAACATATAATAATTGTGTACCAAAAATGAAGGTTCTAGAGGCTTGAGAAGGAAAAGAGAAGGTTCTAATTGATCAAGAGATTCAATGGGGATAGAAATTACATAATTTAATTTAATTTGACCATTGCTATTTTTTTAAGTTTTAGTAGATTCGGAAAGTATAAATTGTTTGGTAAAATGATCTAATATTATGGGATATAGGCAAAATTTTGACTTTTTGCCACATCATCGAAAATCATCCATCTCATTTAATATTTTGCCACGTTAGAGTCAACTAACAGTTGACCGGACGGAAAGTTAACAGTTTGGCTATTAAATTGTTTTTGAAAAAATTTGGCTATTATTTTATTTGAAATGAAAAGGTTTGCCTATTAAATTGTATTTAAGAGAAATATAATAAGTCATATAACTAATTAGTTTTCGAATGAAAGCCAAACGGTACGGCTCATAAAATGATCTAATATTATGTGGCATAGTCAAAATGTTGACTTTTTGCCACGAAAATCATCGATCTCATTTAATATTTTGCCACGTTATAATTAATTAATGGTTGACCAGATAAAAAGATAACGATTTGACTATTAAATTGTTTTCAAAAATATTTAACTATTAAAATGTATTTACCCGAAATATAAAAGTCATATAACTCATTAGTTTGGCAATGAAAGCCAAAAGTAGGGCTGCAAATGAGCCAAGCCGCTCGCGAGCAACTCGGCGTTCGAATCGGAAAAAACTCGTTCGACACTCGACTCGTTATTTAACAAGCCGGCTCGCAAGCCAACTCGTTAGTTAACGAGCCAAGCCTGAACTAGACCATGCTCAGCTTGATAAGCTCGCGAGCTAGCTTGATTCGGTGGCTTGTCGAGCTAAGCTCGCGAGCTGCCTTGTTTTGAGCTTGTGGAAGGATGAATTACTCTTTTAAACATGAACATTGTCTTCTAATACAGATGTGTATGAAATTTAGATGTTATTTATAGTTTCTAGTGTTCTTTCTATCATTTAAATTCTTATGTTTATACATTTTCCAGCAAAAATGATTTTAAATCGAGGCCATTTTGAGCCGAGCTTGTACTCAGCTTGACAAGCTATGTTAATGAGCATTTATCGAGCTCTACCGAGTCGAGCTCGAGCTAGATTATTTTTATTCAAGCCGAGCTCGAGCTCGAGCTGGATTATCAAAATTCGAGTTCGATCCGAGCTCGAGCTGAAAAAGTAATAAACGAGCCGAGCTCAAGCTAAGCAAAAACTCGACTCGACTCGGCTCGTTTGCCGCCCTAGCGAAAAGGTACGGCTGGAGCGGGAGTTTGGGTTTGGCCACTTTGAAAACTGCAAAGGCCGGGGCGGGAAGGGACCCGCCAATCCAAAGGATCTTATAAAGAAAAATGATTTCGAATAAATAAATATCAGTCGCCCCTAATTAATTAATAATTAGCCAGGCTGGGCGCACGAGCTATAACGGTCATTTTTTCTCCTTTATCCAACAATCGTAGACTAGATGATGAAATAAAAGAAAACAATTATTCTCAAATTAGGAAATCGAATTAAATAAACAACAAAAACCCAAACGACCGTTTTCTTGAGAAAAAAGTGGCGTCGACCGTTTCCCTTTCCCCTCTGTTTGCCAGTCTGCCCCCGCCTTCACTCCAAAGTCCAAACGCTCCCTCTGTTTCTCGTTCTCCCACCCTCTGTTTCTCTCTGCAACAGACCATGGCCCAGCGGGGAACCGAATCAGAAACGTCTTTCTCTTCCTTTCTTTCTAGATAGGAAGTGTCGGGAAGGCAGGCGAGAGTACGGATAATATCATCCCTCTGTATTTTCCGCCATTCTCCTCCTTCGTTCGATCAAGAGAGGGAAAGAAAGAAAAAAAAAAAAGAAACAGAGTGTGGGGTTTCCTCAAAATGGGTTGCTTCTCAGCGTGTTTTGGTTCCTCCAAAGATCGCAGAAGGAGATGCAGAAAGCAGCAGCACAAGAAGCACAACCAGGCTCAGCCTCCGTACCAGGTAGATAGATGAAACTTCCCAGATTTTTTATCGCCATTACTGGGTTTCTCTCTCTTTGCCCCTTGTTTGGCTCTAGGGAAACCATATGGGAGAAGAGGGGAAATGTTGAACCACGGATTCTCTTTCTGGCTAGTTGCTCACTAGGGTTTTCGTTCTTCTTATTCTTTCGTCTTGATTTTGGGGGTGTTGCTGCTGCTGCAGAGGAATGCTGATCATGATCTTGAGCAGCCATCAAACCTTCCCGTGGAGCAGAACCCAATTTCAGAGAAACAACCAGTGGTCATCAACACAGCGGCAGAGGAAATCCAGTTGAGTAACGATAGAAGAAGAATAAAGTCTAAGCCTTTATGAGCTTTTCTCCTGTAATCAATCGTGAATTCACTTCTTCGCTCATCGTCATTTACAATGAATGTTTTGCAGGGAGGAGCAGCCACAGTGGCAATCGAGTCCGGTGGGTCTTCGCAAAAAAGTGACCTTTGATTCCAAAGTGAAGGCATACGAGCCTGTTTCAGTACAAGAATCCATCGAATTTCAGAACGCTTCTGCTCCCAAGAAACAAGTCAGCAATGAAATTGGCGATGATCAGAACAAATACACAAAGCCAGACCAATCCGATAACTCCTCTGAAGCAAGTTCTTTGACCCCAAGCTCCAGCTCCTCCTACCCTTCCAACCATCGGTACCAGAACTGCAGAGACAGCGATGATGACGAATTCGATTCCGATGACCAAACTGATTCTGATTCTGAAGCTGGGGATGAGGGTGATGGAGAGCTCGACGATTGCGACGATGACATCTACGATAAGCCGGCCACTAGGCTCGCCTCTGCTGCGGCCAACGGCGATGCCTGCTTCCCAGAGCTGGGAATTGAGAAAGCCGGGCAGAATGTGCGAGACAGGAGTGCGTATGTGCATCCAGTGCTGAACCCTGTAGAGAATCTGACCCAATGGAAGGCTGCCAAGTCCAAGAAGTCAGCACCACCGCTTCCTTCACCACCACAATTGAATCACCAGCCTTCTGATAAGGAGAATGACCAAGAACCCAGCTTTAAGGTGAAATCCAAGAAGACAATGAACCCAGAACAAGTAGTAGCAGTGGATGCAAGCTTATCCAATTGGTTGAGTTCATCATCGTCGTCGTCATCAGATTGCTGCAGTAAAACACCAAACAAGCAGCCTACCATTGCTACTACCTCTTCCACCACGCCACCGCAGGTGAAGAGCCCTGGCAGTTGGGCGGGGTCAGCGTCCCCTAAGAGCTTTGAGGACAGGCCGATCCTCGGGGCGTTGACGGTGGAGGAGATCAGGCAGATGTCGGCATCAAATTCTCCAATTAGGAAGTCACCTGGCCACAGCCCTGATGACAAGTTCATAATTGGGAGCGTTGGGAGCTACTGGAGGAGTGAGAGTGATTGTAGTCAGCCTGGGAAGGAGAAGAAGAAGAAGGAAGTCAGCAGCTCTGCCTCCCCGGCATCGTCGTTTAAAGGAATACCCAACACAACCAGCAAATACAGAGAGGTAATGATGCGTTTGATTGTGAATATTCATCACCATTGAACAATGATGGGATTGGGACTGTGATTGTGTAGATGTTGACTGGGTTTTCCATGATGGTGGTGCAGGATAAGAGAGTGAAGTGGCACTCGACTCCTTTTGAGACCAGGCTGGAGAGAGCTTTGAATGGCACCCAGAGTTAAGTGAGGGGTTCCTTCCTGTTGCTGTTTTGTGGAGTTGTGTTTGTGAATAATGATGTATTTGAGAGAGATTTTTTTTGGTCTTGGTTATGTTTGTGGTGGTGGTGGTGGTGGTGTTAGAATTTGTTCAGAAAATCAATACTGGCTTGTATGCTTGCTGTTGTAATCATCTTTTTTTTTTTCCAAAATACATAGTTGTTATGTGTAATACAGATACTGGTTTCATGAGATATTTCGGTAAAATCAAAATTTGAAGTCTCAACGATATTTAACTTTCAGAATTTTCTGATTAACGCACTATATTATCATTCCGTTACATTTATTAGTGATTTGACATTAGAAGAGGAGTAAGGATGGTTTGGAGGTTGGGATTCTCCAAATTTATGTATTTAATCAATTTGTGTATTGTAATTTGATATATTGGTTAGATGTATGGATTTGAAAAATACATTATTTGGATATTGAGAACCACATCGAATAGAGATATGACCGGACTAAAAACAAACAAAGTGAGGATCAAAACCAGATCAAAAGTATGTTTTGTTCATTTGGTTCGATTCGGTCTGGTCCAAATTCAATTTTGGTCCATCTTTTCTTCGGTAAATGCCACATTTGGTCACTGGAATTACTAAATAGTGTTATGTTTAGTCACTAGAAAAAATTAATATCAATTTTGGTCATTCAAATTACTAAAACATGTCACATTTAGTCATTCTCCCGTTAGCCTCCGTCCAACTCCGGTCACTCGAATTACTTTTTTTTTATGAATGTCACTCGAATTACTGAAACATGTCACATTTAATCACTCTCCCGTTAGTTTCCGTCCAACTCCATTAATGTCACTCGAGGTTAAATAATCTCTTCACATGGACTATGGGCTAAGACACGAATTACGAGGTTTAAAGAGGGATTGAAAGCATTCAAGATGTGCGAAAATGGCTCCACAAGAAAAGCCTATGGTTTGTTGATGAGAAATGGATGACAAAGAGCTTCTTTTAGCATTAAAAATGACTTTATCATTAAAAGTGTTGTATTCATTATTTAATTAATATTATTATTACTATTATGTTTGCTAGTTAGTTTGTGACATGTTTTCCTATTCTTAAAAGGTTGCATTTATGCTTTTGTAACCTCTATAAATAGAGGGCTTAAGACATTCGAGTTTATAACAAATAAATAGTCAAATCTTTGATACATCAAGTTCGATTGATAATATTCCTTTGGTTTTGACTTTTGAGTGGAATCTCAAATCTTTTGTCTTTCTAGTTATTTCGTGGAATCAAGTAGCTAAAGGCATCAACGTTATCGATAGGTCCGTCATCCCTACCGTGGATCACATCGTATACTTGATCCCTAGCTCCGCAACGGTTAGGTGCTCGAGTTATTTTCCATCTTTTTGCTTATTGTTTTGCTGCCGCTTCTTTGTTTGTGTGGTTTGGTTAAATAAGTCAAGGATTCTAAGGCTCAACGTATGTCATATACCTGCCAATCTCGTAGTCCACACGCCCATGGCCATGGTATCCGCACCTCTGCTCGTGCCTAAGCGGGTTGGTGAACTCACATTCATACTTCTCTTATGACGGGCAACCTCATTTTCCACCAGGCACAGTCCTAGATCCTTGCACAATCTACAGAGTGCGCTTGGTCAGACGATCCTTAGCCCTCAACATCATCAGAGGCGGGTGCGTTGAATCAAAAGTCCCCCCCAAATCTGTGTCATGGTCCCTGACGGCCGACCCCACCTCTCCTGATTGGCTAGGGTCCAACTAGTTTGGTTCCTTTCAGACCCGGTTCGGATCGATCGGTTTGTTACGATTTTGAATGGTACGATTCCCCCACCTGCTACTAGCCAGTTCAATGGGAGGGTCAACCCAGTACCCCAACCTGTGGATCCATGTTAGTCTAGTTCATACCATGGTCCATGAAACCGTACCGTACCGGCGGTTCAACCACAAAATACCAGTATTGGAGGCTAAACCGGTAGGCGGTATTTAACGGTACTAACGGTTGAACTACGGTTAAACCACGGTTTTGTCATAAAATACCTTATCGCTGACTTTCACGAAATGTTCTCCGGTACGGTTTCATGGACCATGGTTCATACCTTGATCTATGAAGTTCAGCTCATCTTCCTACCAAACTCATTCCATCCTAAGAATGTCAATAAAACCCGAACCCACGGGTACCCACCCGACCCAACCCGGTCAACGCGGATAAAATCCGTATTAACGGGTTTTGGGCCGGGTTTGGGTTTAAACCCATTCACTATTCACCGGGTTGGGTTTGGGTTCAGGTAAACCCGACCCATGGGTACCCGGCCACGCATATAATTAATTTTCTCGGCATATTTAATATTCTAAACAACTAATCTTATTTATGTTTGTGGAGACATGTCTAATTTTTTCTTTCTAGTTATGTAGAATGAAGTTGATGTTATTGAGTGGAGAGTGAAAAACTTAATTGAAAGGAAGAAGTTTCGATTAATCATGTTATTTATGGATAATTTGTGATTTGCTTCAATTTTCTTGAGTTTTCTAGATTGGTGTTGAACAATTTGTGTAGTTAATTTGTGATTTGCTTGAATTTTCTAGAATGGTGTTTTATATATGGATAATTTGTATTGAGAGATTGATATTTGACTTTAATTTTGATAGGAATTTGTTATTGTGAATTTTTTACGACAAAAACCCGTGGGTACCCATGAACCCGCTGATACCCAACGGATTGGGTTGGGTTTGAGTTTTTCAAACCCAGTGGGTTTTACCCCGGGATTTTTCACGGATAAACCCATGGGTTTGGGTTTGAGTTTGGCAAAATCCGACCCGACCCAACCCATTGCCATCCCTATAATCCAGCCTTATGTAGCTCAACCCACGTCCACCAGAGGCCTTGTCTTAGCTTGTGGGCTTAGGGCCCAACATCCCTACACCCTACTCCATATCCAAATCCCACCGAGTGGTAGCTTGGTATCTTATCCTTCACATGGATCGCTCGATCCCCTGGATCATAGGAGTGGGTAACAACCCGAGATCAGCTTTAGGGCCACACATACCCTGGCCTGCACGCATCAAGGGGGACATCCCTAGAGAGGCGGCGTCGCTGCTACCCTTTGGCTACTCGATCTCCTCGATCGCTACTACGTGCTCTGCTCCCTGCGCCTGGTCGTCGGCACGATGGTCTTTCCTGCCACCTGTGGCTTGGTCATCCACACCATAGCCTAGGTCGCCACCCTGATTTTGAGAGAGATTATTTTCAGAGAATTCTTTGTTCTATAATTGCTTAATGAGAAACTTTCACTAATTACAGAGTATATAATCCGATAAATTTCCACTAATTACCCAAACTAATACTTCCTAACAAAAGCATACAGATACTCCAACAAAAACCCCCAAAGTATCATCTAAAGTATTAAAGGAAAAATAAACTGACATGCTCGTCTTTCTCATTAAGAAAAGCGACTGAGAAACTGGGTTTCTAACATTATGGTTTAGAGTCTAATTACTATGGGTTGTGGTCATCGGTGTAACATGCTCGTATTTCTCATTAAGAGGCTACCGTTGGAGGATTTATTCAATTCAACACCGATTGTGTTTGTGGAGAATTGATTTTGCACCGGCCACAACAATATCGACAAGATGATCCATCAATTTTGCCCCCTTATCTATCTTTTTAGCGATTTGCTACATTCATAGACACCCCAAGGTGGGAGAACGGAGTCCCCATAGTAGTACTCATCAAAGAACATGAGAACCGCAGTAATGAAGTCTAAACAATTCAAATCAAGTTCCACAATCAAAAAGGATTTTAAGTTTACTCATTTGTTTGTTTTTCCCTAATCTATACATATTCATTAGTCAGCGGGTCCATTTTTATTGTTTGCTTCAATATATTTCAAAATGCGTTTTCTCAATTCTTATTCAGATACTTAGATGTTCCTATTCGTGGAATCTCTTATACCATGATTGATTTTTATCACCTGTTACTTTTTTCATCACATGAGAGTTAAGCCTACGATTTTTTGAGTCTATGTTCCTCACGTATTAGTTTATTCCCTTTCACAATCACATGTAACCTTCACATTGTTGGATTGGCGCGAGAGAGCAGGTTTCTCTGGTTTTGTTAATTTTCATGAATCCTCATCCCGCCAATGGAAGCCCCTTCCCATTCTGATCCCATCCCTATATTCTTTTTGCCCTCTTTTGGTTTCAGAGCTGAGAAAGGCAGCTAGTGGTAGGCAGTTGTAAACAAGAGACCATTTTCCAAGACCAAAACTCAAACTCTACATGAGACAATGTTCGCTGATGAATAACATACATACATACATATACGTATCTCAATCTTCATTTTACTATCTTCAAACTTCAGCTCTATCTCATGACCTGAAGAACATTTGAAACCCAAAAAACCAACAAAAACAGGCCTCCTCGCCAACTGATGGAAGATGTCTAATGGTCAGAGAAGAAACCAGAAAAGTATTGTGGAGGAAACAGTGCCTAGCACTCGACCCCACATTGCTTAAGAATTGGACCAGTTTGCTTGGGCAAGAAGGGATCAATCCTGACCCAAACCAACGAGAAAATTGAAGCCAGGAGAATGGACCACAGGACAACTATGGTAGGAGTCCTGTTTTGCCTTCCCATCAGACCTTTGAGGAAAGGGTAGAGATGGACAATGACCCAGAAGGCGAAGAAGAGCTTCCCGAACAAAGGTCCCCATGATCCGTACCCATTGTTGATTGCATCAGACACTCCTGCAACAACCCCTACCAGGTTGAGGATGATGAGTGTGGTTGGCGGGATGAGAAGGGTAGTCCATTTGAATATGTACAGATCTCCAAACTCTGTATCATCGGCTGCTTTTGATGTGACGGTGAAGTTGGTGTCAACTCCCCCTAGCACCTTGAGAAGGCCTTGAAAGACAGCAAAGAGATGGGCCGAGACTCCACCGATGACCCAGAACTGCTCATTACGCCACAGGTCTTCGATGGACACCCCGCTCCAACGCAGCTCCAGGACACTGGTTGCTATGATGGAGAGGAAAAGCGCCAAGAACCATATGCTAGCAAGATTGCTGATCTGCAGGATTAAAGAAAAAGGGTTTCAGGTTTCAACTGTCCTGGAAAGAAGTGTCGGCAAAGAGAAGCGAGCACCCTGCTGATTGATGATTGATGAATGTTTATTTTCTGCTTACCGTTGGGATGATGAATTTTCCAGTCAGAAGACAGACTGCAGGAATGGTGCAGTAGGCAAGTAAAGGAATGGAAGTGAAAGGAT